TGAGTATGCCATATCGTTACCCTTTCAATGGCTCATTTGTTGTAGTCTTCCCTTTTCAATGTGCTCTATAATATGTTTTGTTTCATCCAGTTTGCTTGGTGAGCTACTGCTGCCTCCTTTCGCGAGTACCATTAGCATTGGCGTATGGCTATCCTTTCATATATATAGACTTAAGGCTTTAAAACATTGTTTGCTACGGCCCTTACACGGGTTACTATGATGCAAGGTACTGCTCGCCTATATCAACAAGCATAGTTTAAGATACTATTACTGTTGTGCCTGGCCGCCAATCTCTTCTCCACATTGGTTCGAGAATTTCGTATTTCTGCTCATCTCGTCTTTCTTCAGCATTGCTTCCTCGAACTCTCGACGGGTATCCTGGTCCATCCGTCCCAGTATTTCCTCACTCAGATAACCGCGGCCTTTAGCAACGCTTCTAACGAGCTCACGGGCGCTTTCGCGGGATTCCATTGTTCACAACGCCTGGTATGATGGGTTAGGTTGGAACCGTTAAGCTTTGCATTCGGCAATCACAGTCAAAAGAACACAGTTTCGGTTGAGGAGGGCCTATTACATGGCTCAGTGCTGGGGGAGGGGGGTGGATTACCAGATCTGGGACTAGAGGGCACCTTTGTACCTTGACACGAACTACCAACCAGTCTGCCGCCATAAATCGACCGACTGCTCTTAACCCCGCTCCCAAAGCCTTAGTAGTTCCTTCACCCCTGACACGGGCCACCTATCAGCTTTGCACAGTTCTCCACATCTATCTTGATCGTCCTCGAGCCAACAGCTCATTGGGTAATCCACGTGATTGTACTGGCATTAGTTTAGTGACCGATAATAGGTCAAATCCAAAGGACCATGACTAATGGGCCATTCATGTTAATCATTACGAACTTTGAGACACAAAACAATAATTCCGCTTATCTCCGGTCTCCCGAATGGGGTAAATTGCGAGGCGGAGCTACCACCTTACTTATGGCTGGAGGCCCCCTTCCTCCTCTCCGCCACTCGACTGTAGGCATTGCCTCCATCATAATAGTTGATGTTTCAGCTTCCAGCGCCTTGTAGCGATGTGAGCATTTCCTGTCATCGGCGAGCCTCTCGCCGATACCGGCCTTTCTAGTCATTATGGCCGAAGTCGGGACACCTCTCCAACATAGTTTTGGAGGGCATCAGCTTCCCAATGAGACTGGTATAAAGATTTCTGACTTCGTTACCTAGATTCCTGGTGGTTCGTGCATACAGCGGCACGGCAGTTGAATCGCAGGCACGCCATGGGAGCAAGGTCGCCTCCGCAAAAGTGGTGCGCAACCCGTTTTGAGCCGGAATGTTCGCTATCAGACGCGACCCGTCCGGTAAAGGCATTCCATGATCCCAGCATGGTAGTCAAATATTACCATCGAGAATGAAGCAAGTATATGGCCATCTGTGTCACTCTAAGCGGAAGGGTGACAGAAGCTGCACCGTAAAATCTCAACGTGCCTTGCTTGAAATAGAGCATGCTTTGGCAAACCATTCTATGGAAGGCAACTGTTTGCCGGTGGCAATCCTCAATTCCAGATACGTTCAGGCAAGTACGCATTGCGTCTGTGAAACGCGTCGGATCTGATGACAACAAATGCGCTATCTGACTGAAGCAGACTGCACGAAAGGCCCATAAATGTGTCATTGCTGTGGCGACTGGGAGGCTGTAGAACCACAAAGACCCTTCTACCGCGCTATTACACCTTGGTGGGGATGGACATGTCGTTATTGGCCAATATAGAGGGCCATTGATAGTGCTTTGCAGAGACTGTTCCCATTTACCAAGCTTCTGCAGAGTATTTATCAATTCCGCAAGAACTCCTTCATATAGGGGTCCCCGCTCATTGAGGGGGAGGGAATCTGTAGTCTGGACTCTTTGTAAGAGAGAGGGTAAGATAGAACCGTGGCTTAATAGCGTTTGCAATGGCGATGGTTCATGAAATGCGAAAGGTATCGTCCGCCACTCGACTGAAGAAAGGAACGTGTCTTGACGGGAGATGCACGCCTCCAGTATCTACTTGTATATTAGTCTTGATGGATGAATTACGTGTGAGTTGGGAGGGGTGTCATGCGTACAACTAGGGGCCGGAAGCCGATAAAGAGCTGGTGCGCGATCGGTCCAATAAATGACTCTGGTCCACACATTTCCATCATCCGGCCGATCCCTCTGATATGAGCGATCCAGCCCTCACGGGATGTGGGCACTAACCACTTGCAGGTGTCAATAACCATTTTCACTCTCGTCAGATGAGATGAAAGTCTTGCCTACCTCGGCTAGACATAAGCACATAATAGCAGCGGCGGATTCATTGCAACCACCGTCGTCTTCAGCGATTTTATTGCTCAAAGAATGTACAGCTTTCGTGTATGACTCGGCGCGACAGACGTCCCATTGACTGCGTCTATGGCCTCTATTTCCTTTGGCTATAATTGAGTAGCCTAAGGTGCGGAGCGCCACTGACAGAAGGGTTGTACTTCTGCTTGTGTCCAGAAGCAGAGGGACGGTCTCCAGCCAGGGGCTACACAGGGTTGAGAAGTGGTGTCTGGGGCGGCCATATTGCTCCTGACCATTATAGTCGGGAGTAAAATACTCCGTCACTAAAGCGAAGAACTCTTCATCTGTCGACCATCGAAAAGCTGAAAGATTTAGAATGAGACACCCGGTGGACGATCCGGAAAGTGATAGCGACGCCTCACGTGATATAGGGCTTTCCAGTGGTCCAGAAGAAGAGATGATATGTTGCCCAGAAGTCTTGGGTGGAAGAAAAGTCACCTCTTCATATCCCGGGCAGTCTCTCTTGGTTTTTATGCATTGAGAACAGGAAGGGCGTTTTCCGTCGCACTTGTAATCTCACATTAGCGAATACTTGTCGCAGAATTTCTGATTAAGTAATAGAAGAGCTTTGACCGGGTCGGCGTCGGCGAACTCACCGAATATTTCCTTTGCCGACAGTTTTGACATACTGAGCGGCTCTTTACTTTCATTTTGCATCTACTGCAGTACGGCGGAAGGCGGAGGAGCTGACATGGCGGGAGTGACAGAACCAGGCAGAGAAGCCGAGACGCGGGTCATGTGGTTGTGAGGCGGTTGAGATTCGGCGAATCCCCAGGATTAGCAAGTCTTGGCACCGAATGCTTCTTCTTATGGTTAGCGTGTAGTGTGGGTCTGAGGATCTCGGCAGCTCAGTCGGAAGAATCGCCTGCCCTTTTTCTCCATTATCATTCGACAACATCGCCCATTTCCGCTCAATAGGATTCGAAAGAAGTTTATTTTGAGTTGAGATGATGGAAATGATGACCAAGCATACATCAGGAGCCTTTTTGCTCGCAGATATCACAGCGGGAGTTCCGGTTTAGTTGTAGACCAAAGATATATAAATTGGGCCATGTCCCAGCGAAAACCCCTCACCAATCCCTGACTTTTCCAATCACCATTTTCTAAAGTTGTCACCTCGTTCATCCATCCCACTGTTCATTTCTGCTACTAGCAACTGTCAAAATGAAGGAAGCACTTGTATTTCGCAAGAATGGGCCCATGGAGGTTAAGATTCACTCCGTGCCTATTCCCAAACCCGGACCGGACGAGATTCTGATCAAAGTCGTCGTTAGCGGCACAAACCCCAAGGACTGGAAATTCCCTGACTGGATGGATGCATTTGATGGGAAAAACACAGGCGACGATATCGCTGGCTATGTACACGAGGTTGGCAATAACGTCTCCGAGTTCAGAGTCGGAGACCGAGTGGCCGCCTTCCACGATTACATGACGCCGCATGGGAGCTTCGCAGAATACGCCATTGGGAATGTGCACGCTACTTTTCACATCCCACCACATATTTCATTCGAGGAAGCAGCTACGGTGCCCTTGGCTGCATTGACCGCCTCGATCGCACTGTTTGCACGCCTGGGCCTACCTGAACCATGGCTCGGAAACAAATCTTGGGCCACCAAGCCTGCAGGAGGAGTTCTTGTCTACGGTGCTGCGACAGCTGTCGGATCGTTTGCGATCAAACTGTTACAGAAAGCAGACATCCATCCTATTATCGGCGTCGCTGGAAGGGGCATGGACTATGCTAGGAGTTTGATTAACAGTGAAAAGGGTGATGTCGTCATTGACTACCGGGACGGCGAATCTGCGATCGTACGGGGAATACAGGATGCCATCCCCGCTGGTGAAAGTCTTCAATATGCATTAGACGCGGTCAGCGAAGCATCGAGCTTCCAGGTGGTTGAGAAGGTTCTGGACCAGACATCGGGCGCAGTGTCACTCGTTACGCCGGAGGCACCTGAAAATTTATTCAGCACGATACGTGTTGAGTTCAGCAACGTTGGAAGTAGCCACGTGGATGACAAGGACTTTGCTTATGTGTGGTCGCGCATGGTGAGCAGGGGACTTAGTGAGGGTTGGCTCAAGCCTCATCCCCATGAGGTAATTCCGGGTGGCCTGGAGGGTGTAGGAACCGCTCTTAATAACCTGAAGGCTGGGAAGGCTAGTGCTGTGAAGTATGTCTTGAGGGTTACAGAGGAGTGAAGGAGGGTGAAAAGAGAGTCGTAATTTAACTATAGTCAAACTGAAACCATTATAACTTATCTCTGTCCAAATATGACTGTCGTGACTAAGAGTTACAAGAGGACCCCAAGAGCCTCACGATATTCAGAACTACTTCAACAGCCAGGTCAACGGGGCATCTACGCAGACTATATCCACAGAGCTCTGAAACGGTAAAAGCGCAAGTAAAACAAGCATTATCCCCGGGGAAATACGATTTGATGAATATATGAGATAATATTAAGCAGCCTTTTTGGGTACTCCAGAGAAATGCTTTGTTGTATACCAGCTCCCCTTTGCGCCTAGGTCTCATGTCGCAAGCACAGTAATAGCCAGGAAGAGAAATGGAAATATGATATGGGGCTCCATTGTATGGTTTTGAGCAATCATAAATAGCCATTCGATGTGAAGCAAGGTTGGTTCACCGATTATAACTATGGCAGGTATTGTACAGAGGATCAACTGACAGCCAGTCTGCGTTCTTGGAAACAATACGCCCATCCTTAAGAATAGCCACTAGATGATGCTGTATGCGATCAAGGATAGTAATGTCTTCCAAAGGATTAGACGTCAGGATTAGCATGTCGGCAATGCTCCCCTCTTTAATGCACCCGAGTTTGCCTTCCATTCCCAGATACCGCGCTGCATTCACAGTCGCAGATTTTAAAATCTCCTTCGCGCTTAGAACACTGGACCTAATCGAGAACTCCTGGTTTTGTAGAGGATGCAGGCCAGCCAAAAGGTCGGAACCATAGCATATCATTGCCCCTGCCTTGTGCAAGATTGACAAAGCGTCTAGACCACTATCCAGAACTTGCCGATTCTTTGCCTGGCTGAATTCATCCAGGAACTTGTCAAAGGGTGGCTTGGACATGCCATAATAGGTAACCAATGTTGGAGTAAAGACAACGCCCAATTCTGCACAATACGCAGCAGTTTCCTCGTCGATGAAATTACCATGCTCGATGCCTCGAACACCATTATCAACAGCATGACGAATTGCATCCACAGTGTAGGCATGTGCCGTGACATAGGTCTTGGACTGCCTCGCCGTCGTTGTGATCGCGCGAATCTCCTCACCAGTAAACTGCAGCATATCAAGTGCATCCGACGGTGTTGCTACACCACCACCACACATAATCTTCAAGAAGTTGGCTCCTTGTCTGAGCTCGTCGCGGGCAGCCTCCAAGCATTCGGGGACACCATTGCATACCCGTGCCAGTGCCGGGCTGTGCCCGCCACAGCACTTATACTCGGACCCCTGATAATTGGCTCGCAAATCGCCGTGTCCACCCGTTTGCGAGAGTGCTTTGCCTGCAATGAATAGCCGTGGACCTGCAACCAAGCCTTCTTCAATGGCTTCGCGGAGGGAGTAGTCGGCACCACCGGTATCGCGGACCGTGGTGAATCCTCGGAGAAGCATCTCGCGTGCAACAAACGTGGATCGATAGGCGATGGTATTTGGACTTGCAGAAAACATATCCTTAAGAGATGAAGAGCCCGGAGTTGCCGTAATGTGCACATGGCAGTCGATTAAGCCGGGGCAGATATACTGTCCGTTTAGATTCACTGCATCGGGGGGAGTCGCTACATCGCCAGTCGATACTTCCACGATACGCCCATTCTGGATATGAACGACAGCATCAGGAATAATGTCGCCGGCTTCCACATCCACAACATTGGCGTTGTAAAAGATAATTTCGGGGGCTGCGGTTCGAGGCAACCATGGCTTGCTCGTATTGTTGTTGTTACTCATCGAGTCGGCGGGTAACTGCATGCTGAGATATGTTTGAATCCAGAAATGAGACGCAACGGATAAATTGCACCTGGTTCATGTAATTCTGGACGGCTTGATTCAGCCTTTTACTTCCTCGTTACTGAATCGCGAAATTCTATCCCGACTGTGTATTGAATCACTTAATCTCTCGGTTACGACGACGGGAATGTTGAATCATACCCCTCATCTGTGTGCGGGGAAACACTGATAGCGGAATTGATACTGCCAACCGAGGCTAGCTCGACTTATAGTCGGCCGAGGATAACAACAGTAAGCGATATGAGACGGCGTAGCTACTGACATTCTTGGCGTTTTGATAACGCATAAGTCTGGCAACTGTAGATGGGGTGTCCCTCCTCACGTCGATCCAAGTCATGTCATTTCAGTGGCCCTTAATATTACTTCCTATATGCACAAATATGTCAAGCCATAACTCGTGAATATCGATAGTAATGCCAATTAGTATCCTTAGCATGACACGGCCGAATCTCGGATGGTGTTGTAGAGGCATATACGTCGCGTTTAAAAGCAATGCAAGTGGAATTCAATACTGCCTTACTCTGATTGCCATTCACCCCAAAACATGATAGGCTGTGATTTTACATAGCCGGAAAAGAAGTGATCAGATGTGCATGATAAGGATAATATATTGCTCAGTTTCTAAGAAAGAAATGAAATGCTCTAGACTTGTACAGTCACACATTGATATCTGGGCTTTAACATGATATAGCCTTTCACGCTGTGATCTTCTCAACTAGTAGCTCTTGCATAGTGTCAGCTACTATCATGACGGTGTAACCTTTGGAGCAGCATTTGCTTAGGCGGGTTCTGAGTCAGAATCTTCATCACAAAAGCTGTGCTCTCGGTCTTCACCAGACCTGCAAGCTAGCAATATCTTTATCAACTGCAGATACCCCATTAAGGTACCGCGGAGAATATCCGAGCGCAAACCCTGTCATGTAGTTGCAGAAACTCGACACGAACTCTCATTTGCCGAGAAGTTATCATATCTCAGTGCTCGGAGATTTACCCCGCATGCCACAAACAAGGAATGTACAACGCACTGGGTGACAACAAAACTGCACTGGCCCTGCATAACCGGGAAGGTAATTCCCACTTCAACGGTCATACCACGCTCACTACATTACTACCAGAGTTACCTTCGATACTGATGATGGAATTCGAACTTAAGACGGCAGACCCGGATGCAACAAAAGATGTTAACATCGATGTCGGGACAGTTCAGTTACATTTCACGGCGGAGGAAGAAAAACGCGTAGTGAGGAAGATCGATTGTTTCATTCTACCATTGGTTCGTAATCCTTTCCAGAAATCCCGACTCCATGCTAACATCGACTTCACAGATGTGCTTGGTGTTCTTCTTCCAATGTGTGTAGCCGGATGAGGACTTGAGGTCTTCCCTGGCTGACATCCCAGACCTTGACAAGCAAAGTCTTAGCTACGCGTCGGTATTCGGGCTTATTGATGATCTTTCTCTGGAGGGTTCTGAGTATTCGTGGTGCTCATCATTATTTTATCTTGGTAAGGGATACGGTCACTTGTTGTAGAATAAGCAAACTGATGCGTGACGCTCTCTTCAGGTCAACTAGTTGCAGAGTATCCCTTCATATACTTGATGAGCCGGCTTCCTCTTACAAAGTTTGTCGGTGCAACAATGTAAGTCCGCGACTGGAATTGGCACAATTCGTTGGATTCTAACCAGTATAATCCAAAGCGCTTTTTGGGGTGCCGTGTGCATGTGCCTTGCGGCGCCAACAAACTTTGCAGGGTTCGGGGCTGTAAGGTTCCTTCTTGGAGTTACGGAAGGGGCTGTCTCTCCAGCATTTGTGACCCTCACTAGCATGTGGTACAGAAAACAGGAACATGCTTCAAGAGTGGGGTAAGGCATTGGATTTCAAAAAGCTCTGTTTAGCGATACAATTTACTGACTTCACAACCAACTATAGCATCTGGGTGACGATGAACGGCCTTGCCCAAGTCCTTGGGAGCCTGCTCATGTACGGAATTGGGAAACAACACTACCCGCGGCTGGAACCATGGAGGGTTCTCTTCCTCGTCTGCGGTGCACTTACAGCCGCCTTTGGTGTCGTCTTCTACTTTCTAGTGCCTACCGGTCCTCAGAAAGCATGGTTCCTATCCGACAGGGAGCGAGAGGTCCTACTGGCGAGAATGGCGCAAGACAGAGAAGGAGGTGATAAGACCAACTTCTCAAAGTCACAGGTGAAGGAGACTTTATTAGATGTCCGAGCTTGGTTTATCTTCGCTTTCGGCATCCTTGTCACGATGCAGTCGCCAGTTCTAACGGTATGCCTTTATTTACTCTCTAACCATTTCCGCGATGAAGAAAGCTCACGCAAGTCAGTTTGCTTCCTTGATTATCAAGAACCTCAACTACGACAAGTATCAAACCATGTTGTATACCTCCCCATCAGGAGCCGTTCAGATTGTCGCAATCTGGATCGGTGTACTCGGCTGTCAACTCCTCCCCAATTACCGTAGCTTGGTGGTCATTCTACTCTCCATCCCTCCCTTGATTGGCAACATACTTCTCTTAAAGCTTCCACTTACGACAGGATGGGGATTGATAGTGTCCTCCTGGCTAGTATGTTTTGACCCCACTGTCTCATATGAAGCGTGCGTTAACCGTGATTCTAGGCGTCCTGCATCTCAGATGTGATGGTCATTCTTCTTAGTCTGAGCGCATCGAACGTGAAAGGAAATACGAAGCGGGCGATGGCCAACACGATGTATTTCATTGGCTATTGTGTTGGCTGCATTGCCGGTCCCCAGCTGTGGCAGACGAAATCGGCGCCCAGATTCTTTGAAGGGGTCGTTACTGCAATTGTAACCTGGTGTGTGCTGGTACTAGTTATGGTTCTTTATTGGTACTTGTGCAGGGCTGAAAATTTGAGGCGGGACCGGGAAACCAGCACTTCTGGAGAGGTCGTCTTGCATACTGAGGACGTAACAGATATTGAAGATCGGCTCTTCCGCTACAGTTATTGAAAAGGCTCTAGATTTGGAGCACCGTTGGGGCGGGTCCGCCATACTAAGAAGTACTGGATCAGTGGCTTGTGGATCTAGGGAACAGATAAGAGTGCAGTCAAACATGGTCGCTAGCAATTGCCATAGCAGTCAAAGATACTTTGACCAAGGAGAAGGAACAAAAGAAATTATCTTTTCCAGAAAATCATATTTTTATAATGATACTGCTTTCGCCGTTCCGTAGATCGAACATCTAGGGCTGCTTATCACAGTACGGAAAGTTCCCCGCACCTGTATCTATATAATTTTGAAGTTATGAGCTAACCAACCAACAAGCCTTACTAGCCTTAGCCCCACGTCCCCCTCCCTATCTCAAACCATCCTTTTCCCTCAACACTTTGTATATCTAACATATAACTCCATCTGTCCCCGTTTCACCCCAATACCACAAGAAGAAAGAAGGAGGATGCCCCCCAATATATTCTCCAAGCTTCTCCGTCCCCGCAAAAAGGACGCAGACCAAGATCCCAACCCTCCACCCCGCCGCACCTCCCCGGAAGCCCCCGGAATCCTTGACACCAGCTGCACTATTATTAACCAAAACCAAAAGCAAAGACGGTATAAACTTCCTATCCCGGACCCCGAGCACCGCCAGCGCCAACTCCAAACCCTTGCCACATCATCTGCCAGACCTCATAACCCACAGTCTCAAAGCGCATTTTTTTCCAAGCTACCACTTGAGGTCCGTAATATTATTTACAGGGAGCTATTTGGTGAGAGGAGAGTGCACATTGATTATCTGTGGAAGAGACCGTCTGCTGTTGTCGCGTGGCCGCCGATGGGAAAAGATAAGGGGAAGAAGGCTGATGCTCATTGGCAATGGTGGCACCGGGTCTGCGCGGTCAGCGATGAGTGGGTGGATGATCGATTCGAGGAGCGATGTGTAGATGCGCTCGATGATCGGGACGAGACGCTGGCTTGGGGCTGGGAGAAAGCAGCACCCCCGGGAACCAAGTTGCAAGGCGTGGCGGCGATGCTGACGGTTTGTCAGATGGGGTGTGTGTGGCTTTTTTCTTTCTTTTTTCTTACTCCTTATTTCCTATTCCCTTTGGTAGTCTTGCGTGTGGCCCTCTCTAACTATAGACAAAAAAGATACACTGAATCCCTGCCCATCCTCTACACCACAAATACCTTCGTCACAGGCCCCAGCATGGACACCCCCTTCATCATCCGGCGCCTTCTTGCGCCCCCCTACACAGCCCTCATTACCGGCATGGACATCGCGATCACAATGGCCATGCCCTACACTGCGCCTCCGGATCTTCCTGGAAACTGGACGACGGTTTATCCCGCGTTCTTCGATCTGATGCAGCATTCGTTTTCCGGTTTGCGTCGCCTGCATTTAACTATTTACCTTAACCCATGGGAAAAGAGCAAGGAGTCTGTTACTGAGGAGTCGCTAGAGGGGTTCCTAGCGCCATGGAAAGAACTTGAGGCAAATCGCGAGTGGACAGAGTTATGTTTTTTTGTGCCGGGGGATTGGTTTGAGCTTCTGAGGGGGAGGTTTGAGACGCAGCTGGAGAGGCAGTCTGAGAGGAGGTGGGCGTTAAAGAGGACGAGCGTTAGGCCGCTGGTGGTGCGGAGTTGTTTCTAGGTTTTAGGTGGAGTTTATTGTTTTGCTCGCTTATTGATGTACAGCTAATAGATGAATGAGTGAGAGGAGTTTAGATCAATTCAAATGGTAGACTGTCTAGAAGGTCTACCTGTTTGCTTCCCCCCTCCCTTTTTTAAGCTGTCGCCGTCGCCGTCCCCGTCGCAGACACAGGCGTTCCACTGTTGATTGTGGTGATGGGCCCAGTGGTTCCAATGCACACGTACGTCGAAGCCTCAAGGCCAGCGCAGTCTGTCCCCAATGCGGGATTCCATGAGTAGAAGTCGCTGCCAAAACAAGACAAAAGTTATTAGCTCTGTGAAAACCCACCAGACATTCCCAACCAAAAAGATCAGGTAACATACCTAAGCTGAACCTCCGCCTCACTTGCAAGATCATAGCAATCATCGTTGCTCTGCACATCATAAATCGGAGACACCCGGATACCATCCCTGTCTAGAGGTCACATCCCATCACGTTAGTACATTGCAAAACTATGAGTCGGGAAATCATACTTGCGTAGGCGTAGGCATCACAGGAACCGGATCCCCCGAGGTGATCGTCGTCGCGTATCCCGAGGTCCTAACACATACAAAGACGTTGACCTGCAGCCCCGAACAATCAGACCCGGTGGCCGGGTTCCAGACGTACAAGTCGGAGAGGGCGACACCGGCGTCTAGGGCAATGTCTTAGCAGTCATTTTTTGCTTGGACTTCGTAGAAGCGGATGCAGCAGGTTGTCATGCCGGTCTGGTTTGTTAGTGTTGATTTTTCTCTAGAAAGATGGATGTCTGGGTGACGGGACATACCTGGATAGGCGAGGGTGTTGCTCCAGCGGTTGTGGTCGTGGTTGCACCTGTACTTGTACTGGTCATGCTGTTGATGCTCGTCGAAGAGGAGATAGTGGTTGTGTCATTACTGGACACTCCCACGCAGATATACGTATTCACCGCGAGTCCCGTGCAATTTGATCCCAGGGATGGGTTCCAGTCTACGAGATCGGAGGTGGAGATCCCGTTGGTGGTTGCGATCGTTGTACAGTTACCACCCCTTTCGTTTACTTAGCGGCGAACTCACGAATTAGTACTATTAGTACTAGTATAAATCAGTACTTTCTTCTATTAAATCAGTTATCTAATTTATACCAGGCTCGTCCAGACAGTGATAAACTATATTAAAATAGCAGCAGTAATATTAAAGCTCATAGCCTCCGGCAGGTAACACATGCACTGGACCTTACTATGGACATATATCTTAAATACCTTAAATCTAGAGTATTTCATGGTTGATTCCTTACCTAGTCAACAGGCCTTTTACCATGACAAATAGATCCTATCACATGAGCCTACCTCTTTCTTCTGCAGGCGGACGGGGTCTTCATGATTGCTGGATAATTCTTCTCCAATCATGCACAAAGAGAGACCATGAGTACCCTTCTAATCATCTAATTGGTCTAGTACCCTGACACATCAGCTCTTAAGTTTATATATTTCCTACTCTGTTGAAATTTTATTTTCATGGAGCCAAATAACATCAGTACTTGAGCTAGCCGGCAGGAGACAGCAACTGAAACCCCCAAAGACAGCCGGCGGAGTGAGTCACTGCTGCTAAGTAACATAGAAGAAGCTGGACTTGCTTCTATTCCTTCTCATATAGATCTAAGATAGATAATATGGAGTATTACATTAGGCATAGCCTGGTAAGTTGAGCGGTGGCATTGGGTGTTAGGGACGTGGATAGGTAGTGGTTCCCAGGGTAATGCCTTGGTATGTTTATTGTAATTTGTCGATATATGTAGATCTACTACTGCCGGTCTACTGTAGAAGGTTGTCTTTGGATCGCATTCTGTTGAAGCGTGAATTAATGAATGGTTATAGGAAAACAGAGCTTTAGATACTCATAATCCCCACATATAACCACATATGCACATCATCCGGAATACTTTCAATGATACTTGGAAGCACACCTATGTCGTTTGCAACAGGAAGTGAACCAGGATTCTCCTACATTCCTATTAATGGTACTATGGCATGAGCGACTGTCGAAGAAGACTGATTAACAAGCCACCAGCACTGCTTAAGGAACTGCGTCCTGCAGTCACTGTTGCATATTTTTGTATCCCATCCGACGACACCTGGATTTCTCCAGCCATAGCATCACATTTATCTAATCCTATAGTGTAATTCTTTATTATTCCTCTTCTAGTAAAATATGATTATAGATTACACAGCTAGTACTTATACATAAACTCCTCTGATATTTCCATATATTACTTAAACTAAGAAGTCAATTTATCTCAAGAACGACACAGATAATTTCAGGAATATTTCCATAAATTCTATAATATCTAAGAAGCTTTAGATAGTCCTATATATTTAAGTCTCCGAGCAATTAGTATGAAAATGCAGGATTAGATGTCTAGTCTGGTAATTTAACTGGAAATCAACGGAAGATTTAGGTGTGCAAGCTTGGGGATTGTTATTTAGTTCATCACCTAAACATATATTATTGCTGAGTACGTAGCAAGCTTTCGTAAAGTGAGCTCTTGAGGAAATACATGCGCAAGCTGCGTGCCATCAGTTGCACTGTCTCCCGAAGAAAACCAAAGGAAAATAAGTGAAAACGAAGAAAAACAAAGAAGAGAAGAATTTCAAAATTGTCGCACTACAGTATGTGAGAGACTTAGAGCTGCAAGTTCGAAATATTACAACGAAAGAAAGCAGATACTCAATTGACCATGGTGGTGCTAAACGGATCTCAAACTCAGGATCGTTTGAACATCTTCATAGCCGACGCTGGTGTTTTCCTCTTGGGCAAGCAGATGGGCGGTTCGGAGCACGTTCTTGATCTGTCGGCCATTCAACTCCAACTTCGCAATTTCGTCAAGCTGTTCGTTGGAGAATTTTTCCACGTTTGGAGCAGCCAGGAATTGCATCCAAATCTGACGTCTCGTTTTCTCAGTAAGTTCCGGGTAGCAAATCGACACGTGAATTCGGGATTCAAATGCCGGGTCCATGTTTTCGGCACGGTTACTGGTAAGAAATAGAATCCCCTGCAGTCTGTGAGATACTGTGCGAGCAGGAGAGCGAGGGGACTTTCATATCTTACCTTATAGTATTCCAAAACCCTCAGGAATATGGAAACTAACTCATTTCTCGCGAGATCAGTTGAATTGCGGGCCTCCATAAAAACATCTGCCTCGTCAAGAAGAAGGACAGCTCCCCATTTGGGAACAATAGAGAGAACGTCCTTCAATCTTTCTTCAACTCTTGAAGGACTTGTACCAAGGTCTGCCGCACTCAAAACGTATAGAGGTACTTTCATGACCTCTGCAACACCCTCAGCCGTCAAAGTTTTGCCCACTCCGGGCGGACCACGGAGAAGCATAATAACGCCACGTCCTTTGCCCTGGACGACATCATCAAAAACTTCAAGGCCATTCGACTTCGACTTGGCAACGGCAAGGATGAGTTTCTTCAAATGTTGCTGATTGTCTGGCAGGACCAAGGATTGAAACGCTTGCGCGTTCCAGGTAATGTCTGTGACATTGTCGACAAAGAACTCGAGCCATTTCTTGTCTTTGAGAGCATAACCACGCAACATTGGTGTGGCTATCATCCTTTGAACCTCGGTAAGCTCTGCCGCGATGGTATTTGACAAATGAAATTCTTCGTGGGGATTAAACGTGATATATGCCGCCGTGTCAATTACGATGCGACTTGTGATGTTGAGTTTTACCTCACGACCGAAAAGGTATCCCTTGCCGACTCCATCATATTGCTTGTAATGGTATCCTCTCAGGCTCTCCCAGAGGCTTCCACGCAATAATAATTCTTTCTCAATCGCATCCCTGTTTTCGTGATATGCCAGGGGTGCTACAGACAAATCCGTGATAGGGCATGTTCCTTCGAATGCCTCCAGTTGGAACTCATATGTTGAAAACCCAAATTTGTCACCATCAAAGTCGATGTACTTTCCGTTCAGTTCAAACGTACCGCTTTGAGAATTTATATCACCTGTTCCACAAATGAAAGCACGGGGTCGGTTATCCAAGACACTAAAAACGATGTCACCTGGCTGGAAAAGGGTCCAAAGCAAGGCGTGAGTCACGACACCGTTTGAGATAAGATCGGACTTCCTGGAGATAGTATCATGTAGTTCGCTTTCTAGAAGCCCATACAGCAGGTCGACATGTGCCTTGGTCGTCGAATCTTGTTCACTCTCTCGAGCGGCTGTGAATTTTTCCCAGCGATGAACGAAAGGTTTGAATGGCTTGCTGAACTCGATTCGGTCCAGGCTCATCGTAAGTCCTGGATACCCCGCCATTACAGGAGTGAGAAACTTCTTGAGCGGTTCACTTTGCAGTACAATTGAATGAATTGTAAGACTCTTGCGACCATCGTAACATTTGATGTTTCTCACAATGATCGCGTAAGAGCTTGATTCAGCGCCCTCGGCAGGTTCGACCAGATTTTCAGGGAGTTCTTTAGTCCACGATGCGCGACCCCTATTATCTGGCTTTGTTTGATAGAGGTTAAATATATCGCAAAGAGAGCCTGGAGAGACGTTTTGGACTGAAGAGAATATACTCAGTGAGCCTCATTTTGCATAAACTCCAATAAAACCTGACTTACTCGTTGAGCTACTCAGCATTTTGAAGTTCATAGGAAGGTTTGCTTCAAGGAATGACAAATGAGGAGGATGCCATGCAATATTGGTGTATCTGCCGGAGGTGACTTATATGCAGTATATTATGAAGTGCTCTAATGAAAAGTATTTTGAGCCTCATTCTTTTTGCTACCCATTTTGTCCCTTTGGAGCCCGACAGGATGGACTGATGTGACATGCGCCAGTCTTCGGGGTTTGTTTGGACTGCAATCACAAGCAACAAGAGAGCCTCATTGCGCCTTCGGAATGTCGATATTGATCGTGCGCTGTCCCAAACCCCTTCACCTACCCCGCGAATTTAGGCAGCAGGGCTTTGGTGGTGGAAGCCTGGCAAATTGTCTTACATACAGCCTTGTCCGCCCGGATGTGAGTCTGCCTTGGCAGCATGCATAAGCGTGCTCTGCGCCAATCATCCTAGTGTCCGACGGCCGACCACTGAGGGCTTGATTTACGAGCATCTTTGCTGTCGCCACAAACATTCCAATGTGGTCTGAACGCAGGTAGTTTATGTTGGGACAGTAATTTCTCCGTCGCTAGTCTTACTAGGCGCGATATCTCGTTTTTGGTCTAGCGGTTAGCGTTCCGACAGTTCATTTACTAAAGACTCTAGATTGTGTATTGATGCCTGAAGGTAGTGACGCGGACCACTTACCATAGAATGAGGTCTCGCCCAACTAATATATGTGTATATAGTATATTGTGTATATATTCCTTAAGGACTACAATTGTCATCCACTGATATCCTTTCCCCAAGCTCGTTGCTGAATGCATAAAAAGCCACATTTATACTTTGTTTGCTCATTGTCCAAAAGTATGGAAGCTCACCAAATGTCTCCCTATGCTGACGATGAATATACGGTTGGATGGAGTTGCGCTCGTCCGATCGAGCTGGAAGAAGTTGTAGAATCCGATGTGATCGTCTTCTCGACGGAAGAACTGGTTTAGTTCGTGCTGGATCGTGTACCCAGAAATATATGATTACGGATTCGGGGTTATTCAATTCTCAATCAGTGACCTAGACGGTGTGGGTGGGTGCCTTGGGATAGTTTGCAGTGGCCTGGGATGCGGATGGGGTGGGTTGTTATTAGTAGAGCGGGGGGAGCAGGGGGTAAGAGCGGTTGTGGTTGGTGGTCGAAAACCGCCATTGCTCTTGATGGCTTCTAGAATCCCGTCCACAATACGCGAAGACCCCTGGGCTTGTATATTT